GAGCTAAAGCTGAAGAAATAAACAAGCCAATTTTTTTCCTCTTAGGCTTGTTACTCCGGTCTTTGTCTGTCTTAGATGAAAATCCAACTCGGTTCATGAATTTATACAATATTTACAAAAGCACAAACAAAACATCATTACATATTCCTTATGAAGATCACTAGCACCTCCTGAGAGTGAGCTTGGGTGCCACACTCAAAGAGTTCCATCGATCTCAGGTGCATTCCAGATTTACACAGATGATCATCAAACCCTAAGAGAAAGTCTAGCATCACGTACCTTATGAACCAATACTCTGGTGTGCTTTTCATAGAATCAAAGAGGTTGAAAAAGACCTCTGAGATCATCAACTCCAACCATTACACCAGGACTGCCAAGCCTGACTAAACTGATCTCCCCTCAAGATGCACCCTTACGGCTGTCCCTCATGATCTCCACTTGCAGCCACCCCTTATCTGCCCCCCATAGTGTCCCACACTGTATAGCTGCCCCTGCTCTCCCTTCATGGCCACCCCTCACATCTCATGGCTGCCCTTGCTCTCCTGCCATGATCTCTCCTCCAATAAATATCTGAAAGATATTTCTGGAATGAAAAAATTCCAGGTTGGACATTGGTTTTGTTACTGCTGATGTAAATCTAGATTAAATTCATAGTAAAATTTTCTCTCATGCTTTTTCCTTTCTCCTCTCACTAGCAAATCAAGTAAATAGAGGTCACTGAGCAGGTCCAGCTGCTTGTTGGGTGTGCTGTGAACACTAGCAGTGTTTATTTCCTTCTTATCTTTGGCAAGTAAGCCTGTTTCGCATTTATGATGGGAAAACACACCATCAGTCTGAATTAGGGAGCTACAAATAATCTAGTTCTTGGAAAATGAAGGGTAGCCTGAATTGTGTCTTATAAAGGAGTTCAAACACTAACTTTCCCCCACCCTTCATATTGTAAAAGAAGAAACCAAACCCCTGAACTCCTTAAATTAAGCCCAGTATTCTCTTCAAAGTGGCAATTACATGGTCAAGAGAAAGTTAATAAAGACTCCAGCAAGCCTAATGGACAAAAAGACTATAAACTAGAAGCAGATGCTGTTAGGTTTCATCAGCTACAAATTACTATCCAACCTTGGGATACTATTGATTTGCTTGCTCTGTATCACATTTTAATCACCATAAACCATTGCCTAACACAGTTCTTCCACCAGCCAAGTGTTCTTAGAAAATAACTTTGATTATTTTGGGTGTCTCCAGAAACATTTAAGTTTGAATGAGATGAAACTCGTAGATACATGTAGGCTCATAAAAACTAATGCAAAATTGGTAAGGCACTCCCTTTTCAAAAGATTATTTTCAGCTGCTTCAAATGTGGTGCTGCATCAGTTCATGCTAAAGAACAAAAATCCTCTTCATTCCAATTCTGTTGGAAATAAGTTTCAAGACCGAATAACGCAACTGGATTTCACTCTTGTAAAGGTTCACTGATCAACATATGGTGAAGTCCTGCCATAAAAATATTACCCTCCTGCAAATCTGGACTAGACCTCTTAGATTCTTCTCCATCCTTGTGAGGATGAATAGAAAGCCTGATCCGATCCACTAATTTAACTAGAAGGCTCCAAAATTTGAATTTTCATGGTTCTTAATTAAACTTCAAACATGATATTTCCTATTGAAAACAACTAAACCACTTACTATCAATGGCCTTTCAGGGTTTACCGGATGCTGATTTTCATCTTCTACGAAAACTGGTTGTATTTCATAGTTTAATTATACAAGAAAGAGTCCAGAGGACTAAACAGTTAAACCAAGGAAGCTTTACTAAACAGAATAATAAAAATTAATTAATTAGCCTCCATATACAGCTTTGATACATGCACTGAATAAATCTGAGCTGATTTATCAGTCATGTGCCTTTGCATGGTACGTATTAGAATTATCTGTCATTAACCTTATACTAAAAATGTAGGTGCCTGTATACAGAAGTTAAATGACTTCCCAAGGTCACATTTGAAGCTGGCAATACAACTCAGGCATTGACTGACTTTCAATCATCACATTAAAGGGATTCATGAGGTAAAGATCATGACCTGGAAAGGCCCCATCAGTTCTCTAACTTCATTTTGAGAGGGTAGAATAGTTGAGAGATGACTGCTGAAATATGGTTTGATGAGAAGTTAGCCATCCAAGCCTGGAATGGTAACATCTAAACTCTGGTTTATTTGATTATAATTTTTTACTTTATCTATCTGTATTACAATCTGAGTCACTTGGATGATTTACATTATAATTAGGTTGGGTCTCATTCCTGAGATGCTCTGCCTTTATGGACTCTTGTAGGGAGCCTGGGACTAGAAGGCTTCTAAACATATTTATCACACAGGAAGGGTCTCAAGTTTCACAGGATGACACCATACTCTGAGTTTCCAACATAACCCATGGACAAAACTGGTTTTCAGTGTATGTCTAGAAAACATGAGAATTCACCTCATTATTATTATTATATTTGAATAATAAGATTATATTTTATTATAATAAATCTTATTATTGATTTATTATTCTCATAGGTAGCAAGTCAAGTGAAAGACAAAAGAGAAAACATTATGATAAGACCTTGGAATGGAAAATACATGAATAATGAAAATAGCTCTTATGAGAAGATTTAAGTATTCCATAAGCTTCATTCTTACAGCATATGTTTTTGAAAATACTGCCTATGCAAAGAAAATTTTGCCATTGTATTCATCAAATATCAAGAAATTCATTTTTTTTTTCTCAGAATGGTAAAACGTAGCTTTTATATTAAAAAATTAAAACATGGATTATTTTTCCCGACCTTTTTTGATAGACGTTCTATTGAGCTTGGTATGACATCCAAGAAATTCAGATTCTGATTTTAAAATTAATGATTAATATTATGGCTTTTACTCAGTATTGGATTTGCAGTGCTAAATTCCTCTAACATAAGCAAGTGCAACTCCACATAACTTCAGTGGAACTGTGTTTGCATACATTAGCAAGGAATTCTGGCCCTGTGCCTGGGAAAGAATCCTACATTTCATAGTCACTTGATTATGTCTCATCTTTAAACCACATTTTACTATTTGCAAAATACTTGACCCACAAAACCATAGAAGCCCATCTGCTAAGATATCGATGTGCATCATTAAGTAAAAATGATGAAACTATTTTAAGTGCAAAATCTCATGTACAAGCGACATAAATCTATTCCAAATATTTATTTTCTTATGCAGTCTGATAAACGTGAAACTTGGGTTTCAAAACTCCACTTGCACTAGAACTCAACTTCAAGATACTTTATTACCCCAAACAGGATTAAAAGGCTAAGATCCACCTAAAAGAACCCATCCTTGGAAAACAGTAATGATGGACCAACAAGCTAGTACCAGTTGTCAGAGACATACAAGAATCAATTAAGGATCTGCTTCTAATAGTCTGGAACAACCTAAATGGAATGAAAATATTAGGTATTAGGGACATCTATTGTTACTATCTATCATCATTGTTTTACTGACGGAGTACCTAAAGATGACCACATAATGTTCAAAATCAGAACCAAACTCTAGGTTGGACTAAAGTCAAATGTGCTATTAGGCTTGTAAAACCCTAAACTAGATAACTATAACCGCCTTCTTGTTGGGTTTAGAATTATAGAATGGTTTGGGTTGGAGTTCCAGTCACCAGGTGGCCGTAACAAATTTTTGCATAATGCAGAGGGGTCAGGACTGAAAGCTGGCGACAGTCCTGTGCTCCTCTTGCAGATAACAGTAATAAACCTTATGGTATTCATCCTTGTACAGAATCCATCCAGAGCTTTTAAACCCTGGGACCTACCTTTAGGTGCCTACAAGCCAAGTATTATAGCAAACACCTGACTTACAGACCCTGAATGAGGTGCCTTGACTGTTTTATACATAGAAAGACCAAGATTCTCCACAACAGCACCTTACTCCCACTAAAAATACCCCCTCGCATACATTTTGTCAGGGATCTGTCCAGCTTTTGTCAATAGTAACCAAGAAACTTTTACTCATTGCTTCAGTTTAGGTATTAGAGAATGAGGACAATGCCCGTTTTAACATCAGAAGCCATTCAAAGTTGTCATTTAGTACTTGTCCAACTAGTAGTTTCCCAAAAACTTTTTCCTCTGATAAAGAACAGACGGCATGGCCAGAGAGAAAGGATGGTGCAAAGGGGCTACATATTCTTCAAAATAATGCTAGTACAGATAAATCAATAATGCCACATAATAATATCAAGCAGATCACTGAGTTGTATTTGTCTTCAAGAAAGACAAGCATTTTTCATAGTTTCTGATCTGTAAAAGGGCAAACTAAGATGAATATTATCATGGTTTTATTACAAATCCATTCTAGGTATATCCAGGTTTCAATCATTATGTTTTGTACTCTTCATGGTAGAATAAAGCTATTTCAGTATCACCTCTGAAGACCTGAAATTATTGTTTGTTGACTTTACACAGTACATTTTTTCAGAAAGAGAATATAAATATATATGTACATGTAATACAGATCTTTCAAGAGCAAAATGGTCTTAAGTCTATGCTTTCTCTACATTTCAGTTCAGATGATAAGCTCTTCAGCCTAGAGCAGCCTTTGGCCAGTACCGGATATAGTACTGGCTAGTGAAGCAGCTGTTTGTCTTTTTACTTTATAGGGATTAAGATCCATCATACTGTTAGTAAAGCTGAACTGAAATTTACTGCTTGTGCTTGTGTCTTTTGACAAAATACTGGAAACAGCAGTTTTAACATGCTCAATTGCTTTAATGAACTACTAAAATAAAGCAGGTGCTTCCCTTTGCCAGTCATCCAGACATTTGCTGCGCAATCACTGGGATACAGTTGACCAAAACCCCTGAAACCTACGTTCCAGAAATGCTACCTCTTACTTTTCAGCTAGTATGTGACTTTTCTTGCCTCTCCTAGAAAGGCAAGATGGAAATCTAGCTGTATCAATAAGGTCACTTACCTCAACTAACTTGTTGGCGTGTTCACGGAAGACCTGAGCATACTCCTTCACTTCTTTCTCATTACCGCTTTTTGCCGCCTCAATGAGAACCAGTAATGGGACATTGGTCTCCAGGAATGAATCTGATATATGATCCATGACTGCCTTCCGTAGCTGTGACAAAGAAAAGCAGACCAGTAAATGAAAGGAGAATTATCAATACACATTGTCACTGTATTATTCATGGACTACTTATATTTAAGCATGGATGTGTTACATCTCACAGCACTGTACAGGAGCTTGGGTTTTTCTTACTTTCGTTCTTTCTTTCTTTCCTCCAAGTCATAAGTTTGCAGCAAGCATAAAAATATCAAACACCTCAGGGCCTAGGCTCTGCAAAACTCTTGAGACTTGTGCTGACATACATGTAATCCTTATGGACTGAGTGGATCTATATAAGATGATAGTGATTACCCACATAATACATTGCAAATTGTTGAGAATTGAAAGCTGCACACTACTTTACAAACCAGTTCAGCTCACTTAAAAACCAAATATGGATTAAGGAGCTTAACTTCAAGCAACCATTAAAAATATTAGCCTGAATATTTATTTCTAAGCCTTCTCTAAATTCCTGCACTGAATAGTATTCTATGCAATAATGAGTATTTTGTTTAGCACATGCCTTGAGCTTCATATTTGCTTTCAAGTAGCTCCAACAGGTAAAACCAGAAAACCTTTCTAAGCCATTTTCCATGCAGATTAGAAAACATACTACAATGGATTCCAAAGGAAAGAACACAGCAACCCTACAAGTTACTGAAGATTAAACACCTGTTATTTCATAAAAACATCTGTTTGAAACAATATTAATGTTAGAATGATGTTAGAACTTCCTCTCTACCTTGCTAATAACCACTAATTAATGTCAAACCTCACTAAAATTTGAAAGACAGCTAGAAAGATGCCTGAAATTCTAAGTAATTCTTCCTGGAAGCTTAATTGCTCTGTAGGATTATGGACCAGAAAGATTTTTAGCATATTTTCTCCAGCTATTTGGTTAAGAATGAAAAAGTGCAAACTGAAACACAAGCTGGGAGCTATTCAGCCTGGAGGTCTGGCTAGCCATTAGTCTCCCTAAATCAGGAATTTTTAGTTAGATGAAACATCAAAAAAGGCAATTTCCTCTATTTTGCAGTCCAGACAAGAAAGCTCTATCTAGACAAAGTGTCATCATAACATGTAATCATACTGAAAAACAGTATATTGCTAGGCACTGTAAATACATGATCCAAGATGCATTTGCTGTTTGACAGCAGCAATTGTCAGCTCTGTTTGAATAAGGAGAAAGGTAACTTTGAATATTTCCATTCAATCCCCCAGTGGTGCAGTAAAAACAAGCCAAGCAAAATCACATATATGTGTTTGCATGAGGTATTTCTTTTGTTTCAATTACAACTAAAGCTGCTAATGTATTAAGCAATTCTCAATCCCCCTTCAAAATTAATTCTAGTCAGATTCTACCTGGAAAGCATTTTTGTGCTTTCAGAATGATTAAAGGCACTCAGAATAGCTAACAGTGATCCACAAAAATGGGGGGAAAAGAGGCAAAAGAATAGAAGAACATATCAAAGAGACCTGCCAACAGTTAAGAAGCTGGTGTGTGGTTGCTGCTACCTATCACATCGTCACCTTGTACTCTCTTCTTGCAATCTGCAAATATCCACTTGCTGACTCTTATTTTATTCTTATATTGAAACCTCTTTCACACTGTCCTTTGAATGTTTTTGCACAGCATCTTGTACAATGACATCCTGATCCACGAATAGTTTTCCTAAGTACCATCTTGGTACAAAGGTAAACACTAATATTGCTTCAAATACACCAAAGCATTGCACAAAAAGAAAAATACTGTAAGATGTGAAGTATGAGAGAACAGGGCACTCTGCATGATGTGGCTGATAGATTTCCAATCACTATGTATATCAATCGTTCCCTACTAAATGAAAGGTTTCATCTATAGCCAGCATTAAAGGAAAGATGTATATCAATCATTCCCTACTAAATGAAAGGTTTCATCTATAGCCAGCATTAAAGGAAAGATACTGCCAGAGAGGGCTTGTCTCATGCTTGCTTTATCTCCCTGTGTAGATGTCCATCTCCCAACACTTGCTTGGAAAGTGCTCCACTTTGGTACCTATAGTTCGATTTTCTGAAGCCCTTTGTACCAAAACAGGCCAAATTTTCTCACAAAGGTTTTTTTTTTAAAAAAAACCCATGTAGTTTCCATCTCATTCTCAGGGAATAATGCTTAAAAAAACCCCAAACAAACAAAAGAAAAAAACCTACTGTCCCCTGCACTGACAAAGTGCTAAATGAACACTGACATTTTCCTGTTTATATCATTCCATACGGAGGTATCTGCTTCAAAGGGTTGTGTTCAATGAACAAGCAATTCAATTTTGAACATGCAATTCAATTTTTAATCAAGGTTAATGTGGTATAATAGATCTGATTATAACAATATGCCCATGGAATGGTGAGAAAAGTCTCATAATGTTTAAGGACGCAGCTCATTTTCATCGGTATTATGTTCTATCTACAACCACATATCAGAAATCAATAAAAAGGACAATAAGAGCATCGGCTAACCAGCAATTTGTGGTTTACAATTGTACATATACGGTACAGTTATATCTGAATCAAAATGAATGAATAAAATGGATATCCTGTTTCTAATGGTAACTCTATATTGCTTTCTGAGGTTCACAGTTGCAGCAGCTGAAAAAACCTGGAATTCTGACTGTCACGTTTGATAAATATAAAATTAACAAATTCTATTTCCCTTTGCTGTGTTGATCATAGATGTCAGCAGCATATTTCTGACCCCTCTTACAAACATGCATTATAATTTCTTTAGAAATTGGTTATCTGAGTTTTAGGACGCCCTTGCATTGAGGTTGAAAGGTACAGTAACTGGTTTTTATATACGCAGGAGACCACAAATTTTGCTATCCTTCACCATAAGCGATAAAGAATGAGTTGACAAAATCATTTGTTAAATGTGACAGGAGTATGAACGTAAGACATTCATCCAACAGCTCAAATGGATACATGACAAGGTAATATTAATAACACAAGACATTTAAAAGTATTAGCTCACCATTACCAGTCTATTTGATCCAAATAGGGCTATTCATCAAGGTAAATAACTACTGGAAAACTAATCTTGTGTGTTCCTCTGCATACTGCAACAAAGTCCAGCCAAAGTGATGGCTTATGCATCCAGAGATTTTACTGTTTAGTAGAAGTAACATCAGTTTAGAAGGGAATGGGAGAAGTCTGTGACTTGAATTTAAATGGTCATAAAGCATGCAGCAAATCCACATTGAGTTTTATTCTAAAACCAGCATGAAACCTTGTGCATATACGTATATTAACAAATGGCTTTGCAATGCCTTAATTTAACCTGCGTTCTGATGTAAATATTATGACACAAACTATTACTCATAAGACAATGCTTTAGGGTTTTTTCTCCCCACTGATTTTTTAAGCTAGAGGTGACTTCAAAGGTGTGGGTAGTTTCCACTACATGAAACTCAATTTGTTAGAGGAGAAACCACATTAAATAAACGTCTTGCTTAATTCATTTTGTCATGGAGAAAATGTTATTAATTAACATATAGCTACAAGAATAATAGGTTTGCCAGACCAGCATAAAGATATAAAAGGAAAACATCAAGACCAGCAAATATTTTTAGAGGTATGAATGGTGTAGCACAAGGCAGATTTTATGTCTTTCCAGTTCAGTCAATTTAGTCAGTTTATGGTGCAGAGTCAGTTGCTGTTTTTGATAGCAGCATGTTCTACTGTTCTAAGCACTATTTAGGGCTGTTCTATCATTGTCAGTTCGCAGCTATAATTGAGCTCAGAGAGGTTAAACTGCCCACTGAAATGATGTTTTCCATGGCTATATAACAATTTTAGAACCAAAATGTCTCAGCGCTACTAACAGACTAGTAGGAATTAAATGTCTAATCCTGACACTGGAAGGTAAAGTCACAGCAGGAGATTAATGACTCTAGCAGATTGTTAAACTTTATAAAGACTGGCAGTATAAAGCTATCTGTAACAAAAGTTTACCAAGGAGCACCTTATTCACCATTTGCTATTGAAAGTGCGTTACAAGCTGAAGCCAACTCCAGTTCGTACCTGCAGAGCACTCCCAAACAGGTGTTAATTTAATTGAAAGAGGAAAATAAAGTCTTTTCCACTGCAGTTAAAGTGTCTCTCCTCCAATATGTTGTGAAATTGAGTTCTGGAGACAAGACAGTGACCATAAGAAGCTACTGCAGTTTAGTGTTAAAGAGAAAGGCTCAGCCAATTCTGCACACTAGAAACCCTGAAGATGTGACTAAAAAATGACAGACTGGAGGATGCGGATGGTAATGCCATCAATTATGTCTTGGAGATTAAACAGCAAAAAGATTAACATTGAAAGCATGCATTGCATTTGGACATCCAAACTGCAGATTTCTGGAATCACTACCTAAGTATATTCCATTATTAAGTGTTTAAGATTTGAGCTAAAACAAAAACCCAGGAAGAAATGCTGTTATAATACAAAGACTGATTGTAGTTCTTCACATATTTTTCTGTCTTCTCTCTAAAGAGAAAATTCCCTAGTCAGGAAAAGACTAGAGATGAATTTACTAATGGAAAGCAATTTGGAGTTTCAATTTTTGGCCAGAAATTTGAAA